AATTATTTCACATAATCATTTATTATGACAACAATTATTTCACATAATCATTTATTGTGATAACCATCATTTTCTTCTAAATGTTATCTGTTCCTGGTATAAAGGATCATCCCCCTCCCCCCATTTTCTCATAACAATTTTCTTAAATAATCATAATTTCTCATAACCATTTAAAGTGATTACCAGTATTTTCTTCAAAATGTTTTGAGTGATAAAGCATTATATCATTTATTTTCTCGTAACCATTTTCTATTTTATCATCACCTCTATGCCATTTACTATCATAGCTATTATTTCTCATAACCACTTTCCACTTCAACCATTATTTCTCAAAACCACTTATTGCCACAATTATCATTTCTCATCATCACTTTCTTCACTGAACATAATTCTGGTCATAAGCATTTTAAGGAACTCACTCTAGACATACAGATTTATATAGATTTTTTGAAGTATTTTGATGTGTCACTGGCTTAGTTTTATTTTTAGGTATAGGGGAGCTAACTCTTTTAGCATGATAGTTAAGTTTAACATGAGTATTTTCCCTTGGTTTGACAAATGCAAATCTTGTATTTATAGCCTATGTATAACAGGGCTTTGTGAAAGATTCTTTATCCTGTTAAGAGTTTCATTTAAGTTACCACATATCAGCTCATAAATGTGTTAAGTTCTGCTCAATGTCATAGCTAGAAATATTATACTTAGTTTAAAGCATGCCTACATTGTCTATGGATAGAAAAAAAAAATTTGCTTTCTGAAAATGAAATGTATTTCAGATTGATTATTAGGTATGTACTAATTGTTTGATAGTGTTGTAATTTAAGCAAAATCCTGTTGAAAATTTGTTTGAAACCAATCCTGCTCAAGGGATATCAATGTAAAAATAACGAGGACTGTGTTTTCAACTGTATTTAATCTTGTTAGACTATAGAAATGGTGAGTTCTATTCTTTTGAAATAGGTCTTCTATTATCAATCACTTAAGTTAGCAAGCTCAGAAAAAAACTCCTGTAAATATTTTATTTCTTCATGCAGGGCATTTTTTGCACTATCACTAAGGGCCAATGGCAATATAAGGCCCCATTGCCATTCCAAAATAACCTCATATTTTCGTAATTGCAGTGAAAAAAATTATCAATAGCTTCCAAAATATAAAACTTTTTCAACCTTTGAGAAAACTTAACAATTTTGGCTTGTTTCATAAAAGTGACAGGTTGTTTAATCATACAATATTATAGAATTTATATGCAAAGAGGAGGTGTTTTTTTTTTAACTTTTTAAAAAGATTTCTTATTGCCTGAAACAACATATAATATTACATTATAGTTTCAAGTTTTTATCACTTAAAAGACTTATACCTTATACTAGTTCTATGTACAAAGTGAATTTAAGGAATTCAGCATAAACACATTCATGTACAATGAAAAAGCGTAACACAGTATATGGATAAATTTTGACATTTTTGGTGATAATGAAATTCATCTGAGTATATAAATAAAACCATTATATACGTTTCATGTGGTTTAATTAATGGTTTACCTCTCTTTTCATGAAAAGTAAAGATAATTAATAATAACTTGCTTTGTTTCCCAATGCAATTTTCAAATTTTCACCAGTATGTAAAAAAGGTTATGAAAAGAACGTTTTACAGAAAAAGCAGTTCATTCATTAAAATAAAAAAAAATTATGTTACTATTTCAGTGTCAATATTTTTGAAAGAATTCTTCGCAAGCATCAATTAAGATATTATCGAAGATATTATTGCCATTGGCCAATAATCATAAAGTTTAAAACATTTTTATTACCTTATTCTTACAAAAAATATTTCACATTTATTCAAAAGTTGATACTTTGCCTTTTAAAGGAAGTATAATTAACAATTTCTCTTAAATTGTGTATAAATCTTTATTTATGTACATTTCATCACAAAGAAATACCAAATCATATATTTATATTATTTATTTAGCAGATAAGAGATTATTTTACTTTTTTCTATCATTGTATATTTATCTCGAAAAGTATCCAAGTGTTATTTTTTTTTATTTACTTTGCACTTTAAGATTTACTTTAAATAGTGTACTCCTCTTTTTCATCACACACATATAACCTGTCAAGACCAAAATATTCTGCATCTTAAAAATGAGGCAATGAACTTATATCTAGTCTCTTCTTTTGTATTTTGTTTCAAATCCAAAATGTTTTGTTGTTTCCTGTCTATATATTTTGCTAGAACTTTGTATAATGTTAAACTTTATTGTATTGTATTGTATTGTACTGTATTGATAAATTTAATTAATCTATACATCTGTATTAAAGAACATACAAATTCCATTAAACATTTTTTTGTATAATGCAGATATTTTCTGATGATATATCTGTGATATAAACATGTATATTCAATTACGTTTGAAATAGTTTATCATCAACATTATAATATCAATTTTTTTTATTTGAAATAACGTTCTAGTATAATTACCCGTGCTCGTACTATAAATGATGTCATTAAAATGTAATGTGACATTGTCTTAAAGTTAAAAGTTTATTTTAATTCATTGAAAATTTGTATTTAAATTGTATTGTTTATGCATTTCTATCAATGTATTATCACACTTAGTTAATAGTATGATGATGTACTATGTACATATCATAATAAAAAAATGTTCTGTTCTGTTCTGTACTATATACAGTGAAAGTTGAGAAAACCGGACGGCTTTCGGACCGAGGGTTTTTTCCGGTTTTCTCAGCGGTCAGGTATTCTCAGTGTCCCCTTCAGCTGTTCAGGATCATAAAAACCGAGCAATGACTTACAAAAGATGCTGAACGTATATTTGCATTTTCATGATTATGAGTAAGTATATTGCTAAATAAAGAAATGATAAAAATTCTATACAATATGTTTTAATTGTTTTTATCCCATTATTGGATACAAATACAATGAAATATTGGATTTAAACGAACAGCAGTTACCTCATAACGATGAAGTCCAATTAGACCAGCATATGTTTACATTTGGGTAATTGATAATGATTTAACGAACATACATGTAGTTTACTTTGTTTGTTTATAAAAATTCCCCAATTGTAAATATTGCCTACACCATATTCGCAGATAAAGATTTTTAAAGTAGGTCTCGGCATAGTTTCCCTGTTTTTTAATAATTCAAATGTGTCACTTATAGACAGCTCCCGTCAACTGATTTAAACCTATTAATTCCTCGTGCATTTTGGCATTTATATAAAACGGTAACATATATACCTTAAAATAAATCAAACTGTTAAATGAGACATAATTAACAAATCAGACAATCATTGTTCTGTTACCTCTCAGTTAATGTATTATACACAACCAATTGACAATTACACAAGGTAATTCACACCTTCGTCGTCCGGTATTGTCAGGGTAATTGTCTATAAAATTGACTTTGTAGTCCCCTATCAACAGTCCGATATTCGGTTTTTACAGATTCCGGTATTGTCAATGTAATTTTTTTAATACAATAGTTAAAAGAAGGGAAAATTTGGGACTGAATTATTTGTCCGGTATTTAGAGAGTTCCGATTTTCTCAGCGTCCGGTTTTCTCAAATTTCACTGTACATACATACAAACAAACATACATACAAACAAACAAAAAGATTTATAAAGAGTGTCAACTGTTTCTTTGAAGCAGTTGTGCTTTCACAGATATATGGTTGTACATTTGTACAAACATTTTTAAACAATTTATAAACAATTTGTATGTGCAATGTAATCTATGCAGGAAAAGCTAATAACAGGTGGTGCCAAAATGCTGTGCATACCCTTAAAGATAACACAATGATTCCGTTAATGAATTTTACTAACGACTGATAAGCGATATGGTAACGATGCTTTCTGATTATGCAACAAAAACAATCTTAAAAATAACTAACGTGTTCGTTACGGGATCGCTAACGCTTTCGTTAGCTTGATTTTAACGAAAGCTTCTGGTTACTCACCCCTGCTGTCTCTTTTCCCTTGCATTTACATAGATAAACACTATATAATTATGTACATATTTATTGTAATTTTGCAGGGCTTGTTTACATTATGTAATAGAGACCTGTAAAAGGGACCTTCCCAATTGAATTTGAAATTTTCTTTAAAATCAAGCAGATTTCCCAAAAATTCTACACATACCAAGTTTTTACTTTCCCAAATTGACAATTTTTTCAATACTCTTCCCAAAACCAATGAGGCTTAAAGTACTCTCTACCCATTAAAGAGAGAAAGTACCCTGTTTTGAATATACAGTTTTGTTTCTCTCTATCTTACAGGTTATATACCCAGAATGACATTTAAATTTGGTGGAACATATAAAGAAGATTGTGATGTTTGCATCGATGAATACATGACTAATAGAACGAATCATGATCAGAGACAACGAGACTTGACACGTCAAGTTAGCTGCATACCGAGATTAACAGCGGTGTCACATGACCCATCTGTAAAAGAGAAGTTAAATCGCTACAGAGATACGCATCCTTCTAGACCGTTATTAATGGGTAAGTGTTGGCATAAAATATTTGGAGCTGATAGAAAAAATAATGAATATCACGTTTTTAGAGATTGTTTAGCTGCGGAATTCAGCTACAGAAAAACACACATGTTGTTGTTCTATTTATTTCAGTTAACGGTACAATGACACTAAATATTTTAGGTAGCCAATCACTAAAAAGTTGCAGGTTTGATTTCAAGAAAACAAGTGATAGATAACACTTATAAGTGGTCCAGTCGTAACTCGTAACATGTTGTTCTTTTAGTTTTAGGCATTGCAGGTACGATCTTCTGCTTCACCACTAATCATAGATTTTTTGTTGAGAGCCTTAAAAATCGAGGACCAATGACTCAGTATTTGTCAATGATTTATGTTATAGTGACTGTAAGTGATGTTCTCATAGGAAATTTAAGAAATTGATTTATATAATCAGATACATGACTTGTGTAAACTGTGCCTAGTGACTTTCTCTGGTATTTTCGATGAGTTTCACAAGGCAGACCAACATATAGCTTTACCTTAGTGCTTTAGGATTGTATGTTTAGGGTATCAACCGAGTACGAGGTCTTTCCTAAACAGAAAGATCGATGTACGAGGCCGATATCCAATTTACACAACTCAAAACTATATAATTTGGCTTGACGGAACATTTTGATGTATAATGCACAAATATTATTTTTAACACAACGCATTTACAGGTAAGCTTTTATCAAAGTTCTGCTTAAATACAATATATATTTTGCATTTAACTTTGTTTTTCCGTTACAAAAATAATCAAAAAAGTTTAAATGTGCAATTTGTCAATAATAAAGTGAATATGTCTGTTTGAAGTACGATAATTATTTTTGATAGAAATTCGTATAAGACAATGCAGATTCTAGGACATTTGCCCCCCCCCCCCCCCCCCCCCTCCCGGATGTTATCCTTCTGTATATTTTGGTGTTGTGACTTGTCACTTGTCATCTTGTGTATAAATTTTTGTATGTCAATGGAAACATAATACATGTAGTTTATTGATTTATGGATGCTATTTTAACTTTCACAAATTTGCACCAAATTTTGTGTATTTAAGCACAATGAAATTTCGACAATAGGCGATGAATTTTTGTAGCTATCAATTCAACAATAAACTATTTCAACATTTTTAAAACAGGGAAGGGGGGGGGGAAATGTCCATCCCTTCCAAAGATATGAGGGGCAAATAACCGCCACTGGAAAAAAGGGGCAAACTTCCAAGGGGGCAATTGTCCGAGGGGCAATGTCCAAATACCAAACAGCCCACAAAAGACTTATATATATATATTGTTTGCAAGTGTTATATACATGAACCGAAACTATATTTAATATAGCAGATTATAAAGTGTTCTAGAATAAAATATTATCATTCATCATAAATTTTTATACTAAATCACTTATAATTTAATTATCATTTTAAAATCGTAATAATTATGCTGTGATTTCTGCTATATACTTTCATAGATATGAACTTAAAACATCAATTTTGTTATATTGTGAACTTAATGATAGAAGAACCACGAAGATTACTATTTCTTTGAAAAATGACGCCATTAAATAATAACTTTGATATGATATCCATTATTTTTATTCAAATATTTGATATAGGGTTGTTGTGCAGTCAATAAACATTATCTTGTTTAAAAAATGTATCCCGATTTTGTAAGACAGGAACATTATGACAATCATTTACATTTTATTTCAATTTTTAATTTTTGGTTGCATTTCATGTTTTCTTTGTTTGCACTTTGGCAAGTCATTTTTTCATGTGTATTTCATGACCGGGTCTGTCTGACTCAAACAGACCTGTGCACATGCAAAAGATAGACCTCATAACGAACTTTCTTTTGTTTAAGCAGGTCTATCTGAAAAATATAGACCTGTCACAAACAATAGAGGAGGTGTGTAATTTATGTTTTTTGAAGCTGCATTCCTCCAGATGAGCTAAAATTCAGCTTAAAGAATAGTGTACTAAGAATTTAAGAAAATTACAAATGTTTACTTTTCAAGTAATAATTTTTCATTTTTTTAGTACATGCAATAAATGACTAATCTCACTGTATTTAATTATCACCATGTTTTTTAGAATCTATAACATGACTATTTTTGCATTTTTTTAAGTAGTATTTTGACTTCCATACAAAATACTAAATCACTATAATTGTACTAATTGCTAAAAAGCATCAGAAGAAAAAATGGCTCAGGTAATTAGCAAATGAGTATATTTATGGAAACGTAAGTACACTCAAAGTAAAAAGCTATTAAGAAATTAATGTAAAAACATTACTAGTTCATGATATGCCTTTAATACAAGTGTAACATTTGAAATATTTCAAAAGTTTTTAACTGAAAAAAGTAAGCTACAAACAGAAAAGAAACCTTTTCAGATCACTGGCCTGGCTCTAATAGATTACTGGTGACAAATGCTTACCACTTTCAATTTCAGCAAGTGATGGGTTAATTTGAGGTTCAAAATTAATGGGGGTTTTTATATTCAATATTCATTGAATATAGCATTACCTCTTAAGTTAGATATTCAATATTCATTTTTTTGCCATTTGTCATTTGCCATACAATAAAAGTACATTTTAAAAAAAGGAAAAGAATGTCAATAATATTTGCAATGCCAAATGCCATTATAGGGACTAAAGTACACAAGACACTAATCTAGCATTACTAAACAAAATACAGCAGTATGAAGATGTTACAGGAGTCTTTTTGTATATAGCATGCAACATATAGGGATCACTTTTCTGTTGTCCATTGGTCCATCTGCCAGTACAAACATAAAGATACTTGGGGGGCTATGGGAACAATAGGTAACAGTAAATTTCCTTTGATGCTATTCATTCAGTATGCTCTTATTTGGCTACTTTTTCTCTTATGTGTTTAAAATTACAAGAGAGAGCACAAAAGTGTGGCCACTTAAGTACCAAACTTTGAGCATAGTCCTTCACAAAACTTGTCCGTACTTATTCCCAAAAACTACTGGTACAGTTTCATCCAACAAACAGGAATAATCTGTAACAAGTCTTGCAATCATTGGCATTTTCTGGTTCAATGATTTTTTTAGAGTTATGGAATGATTTTTATCTCTTAAAGTTTTGTCCGTACTACCTCTCTTATACTACTAATGCAATTTGAGTGAAACTTTGAGTGTATCTCAAGTATTTATGCATACTTTAAAGATTTACTGGTTGAATGTTTTTTGGCTGAGTTATGACCCTTGAATAAAAAACTCTCATCCTCATCATAAAACTGCAATGTGCAGAGGTAAAAAAAATGGTGTGTGGCACTGTTTAGCTCTCTTACACTTCTAAATTTATTCAAATCATGACCTTTTGGTCAAAATTGGCCTTGCCTCAGGGTTTCATTTGCTTTTGCATATCATCATATTAAAAAAACCTTTAAAAATCTTCTTCTCTGAAACCTCAATGCTTAGAACTTGATATTCAGAGCATTGACTGGTTTCCAACTACCAAATTTGTTCAAATCATGTTTCTGTGGAAAAAATATGGACTATGGTGGGGTCTAATTTGGACACAGAAATTATAAATGGTTAATTTATGTAATCTTAAATAGTTCTTTACTCTCAAAGAACAAGGCTTAGATCTAAGATACATTGTCTAATTAACTTCATATTAGTTTCCTAAAATGGTTTTTAGGTAAGCAATCTGTAGCATGTGTATCTTATAGTACATGTACACACATGCACTGTTATAGAATTAGCTTTGACATGTGTTTTATAACAATGAGTAATGCTGCTTTGATACAGTTTCAGTATATTGTTAACAACATTCTCACTTCTGGCATTTTATGACAAAGGTTTTTTTTTGGGGTGGGGGGGATTTTTTTATAGAGATATTGAATTTTTTTCTAAATTGTGTTAATAAATTTAATTATTATGGAACTGCAAACTTCAGTTGAGTATTTGAATTCATCAGTGTTCTTTTAAAATGGATGCAAGCATCTTTGAATTCTAGTTTGAGGCATGAATTTGTTTAATTTACATAATTATATGTAAAATTGCCGTATGTATATGTATACATGTACTATTGAAATGTTACAACCTGAAATACTATAGATTCGTTTAGCCACAAATAAAATACATCAAACACATGTACTGAAAATACATGTCTGGTATAATAAAAGTCCCACAAACACATGTATCCACATTTAAAAGTCCCACAAACACATGTATCCACATGTAAAAGTCCCACAAACACATGTATCCACTTGTAAAAGTCCCACAAACACATGTATCCACATGCTAAAGGTACAAAAAACATATGTATCCACATGTAAAAGTCCCACAAACACATGTATCCACATATAAAAGTCCCACAAACACATGTATCCACATGTAAAAGTCCCACAAACACATGTATCCACATGTAAAAGTCCCACAAACACATGTATTCACATGTAAAAGTCCCACAAACACTTGTATTCACAGGTAAAAGTCCCACAAACACTTGTATCCACATGTAAAAGTCCTACAAAAACACATGTATCCACATAATAAAGGCACCAAAAACACATGTATCCACATATAAAAGTCCAACAAACACATGTATCCACATATAAAAGTCCCGCAAACACTTGTATCCACATGTAAAAGTCCTACAAAAACACATGTATCCACATAATAAAGGTACCAAAAACACATGTATCCACATATAAAAGTCCCAAAAACACATGTATCCACATATAAAAGTCCCACAAACACATGTATCCACATTTAAAAGTCCAACAAACACATGTATCCACATATAAAAGTCCTACAAACACATGTATCCACATGTAAAAGTCCTGCAAACACATGTATCCACATGTAAAAGTCCTACAAAAACATGTATCCACATGTAAAAAAGTCCCACAAACACATGTATCCACATATAAAGGTCCTGCAAACACATGTATCCACATGTAAAAGTCCTACAAAAACATGTATCCACATGTTAAAGTCCCACAAACACTTGTATTCACATGTTAAAGTCCCAAAACACTTGTATTCACATGTAAAAGTCCCACAAACCATTGTATTCACATGTAAAAGTCCTACAAAAACATGTATTCACATGTAAAAGTCCCACAAACACTTGTATTCACATGTAAAAGTCCAACAAACACTTGTATTCACATGTTAAAGTCCCACAAACATTTGTATTCACATGTAAAAGTCCCACAAACCATTGTATTCACATGTAAAAGTCCTACAAAAACATGTATTCACATGTAAAAGTCCCACAAACACTTGTATTCACATGTAAAAGTCCCACAAAGACTTGTATTCACATGTAAAAGTCCCACAAACACATGTATTCACATGTAAAAGTCCCACAAACACTTGTATTCACATGTAAAAGTCCCACAAACCATTGTATTCACATTTAAAAGTCCTACAAAAACATGTAGTCACATGTAAAAGTCCCACAAACACTTGTATTCACATGTAAAAGTCCCACAAACACTTGTATTCACATGTAAAAGTCCCACAAACACTTGTATTTTCATGTAAAAGTCCCACAAACCATTGTATTCACAAGTAAAAGTCCTACAAAAAATATGTATTCACATGTAAAAGTCCCACAAAGACTTGTATTTACATGTAAAAGTCCCACAAACACTTGTATCCACATGTAAAAGTCCCACAAACCATTGTATTCACATGTAAAAGTCCTACAAAAACATGTATCCACATGTAAAAGTCCCAGAAAACACTTGTATTCACATGTAAAAGTCCCACAAACACTTGTATTCACATGTAAAAGTCCCACAAACACATGTATCCACATGTAAAAGTCCTACAAAAACATGTATTCACATGTAAAAGTCCCACAAACACTTGAATTCACATGTAAAAGTCCCACAAACACTTGTATTCACATGTTTACAAAAGTCCTGCAAAAACATGACTTGTATTCACATGTAAAAGTCCCACAAACACTTGAATTCACATGTAAAAGTCCCACAAACACTTATATTCTCATGTAAAAGTCCCACAAACACATGTATCCACATGTAAAAGTCCCATAAACATATTATATACCAATATATGAAAGTGCCACAAACAGTGTCATGTATGAATATAAAAGTACTGCAAATACATGTACATGCATAATGAAGGTACCACAAACACATGTACCAACATAAAAGTCCCACAAACACATGTTGCCACATACAAAAGAACCCAAACATATAGAAATGTACCAAAAACTCATGTACAGTCATATAAGTAAGGTACCACAAGCACACATACATATAAGAACCCAAAACACATGTATCAACATATCAAAGTCCCACAAAAACATGTACAATCAGATATGAACCACAAATAGTCAAATCTGACATAAACAAGTAGCACAAACATCATGCATCTACCTAAAAAAATTGCTGATTTTTTATTGGTGTTCAACTCAATGATTCAAATGCAGAAAGATTTCAGTTTCTACTTGTTGGACTTTCAATATCTGTTAGTACATGAATCACTGTTTTGGGTAGGCAATGGACAATTATGAAACAATATTCGCAGATGCATGCCTGTAGTTGAACCAAAATATTTCAAGAAAATCAAACTTGACAAAAAAGTACCAACATTTTTAAAAAAGTAAATAAAAGTTCAAGATTAAAGTAATAACTTACATGTAAGTGAGATTTTTAACTGATTTTGCAGTATTTTTCATCATATTTGTACTGTCTCAGAACTGTGTGCCTGACACATTAAGAGCTATTTTGATCTTACATTCGTTATAAGAACTGTTTGCAATGAAAACATTTTTTTTGTCTTTGTTCACAACACAATATTTTACATTTTAATACATTTTGAAAATTTTCATGAAAATTAGCATGTCATTGAATATAGAGGCTTGCTGCTCTCATATATTATTTAAAGCACAGAGTATCTATACAATTTCAGAGGACAAGCGCCCATTGACAGAACCTCCAATCCCTGGCTATAATGGATATATACCAAGGATCAAACCCACAGAGCTTGGACTCGGACATCGGTACCATGTTGCATGTGACAACGGATTTAGCCAATTTGTACAGGAAACTGCCCGCCACTCGGAGAGATTAACAGGGACCTTGCCAAAAGCATTAGAAAAGTAAGTCAGCCAATTAATTCTGTTATAACGCTATTTACGAGGAAGCACAGGAAAAAGGTGCAAAAGTTAACAGGGACCTTGCCACATAAAAGAATTAGAGAAGTAAGTCAGCCACTCACTTCTGTAATTAGAATGTTTTCATAGAAGCGCTGGGAAAAGCCACATATTTCCATGTTTCTCATATTATCAGGGTTTATCATATCATAGGGAATTGTTTAAAACAAATGAAATTTGCATCTTGGAAACCAAAAACATGTCTTCTTTGTAGCCCTGACACAAACCAAGGCAACTGTCAGATAAAAATGTGACAAAAGCATGTAAAAATGATATTTTATGAAAATATCACAAAATCTACAAAACTGTGTTAAAATTCTAACTTGAATTTTATTCATACTGAAGTTAAGTTATTTTGCATGATAAAACACAACACTTAATTAAGAGTAGTACTAATGATTTGAGGTGATTTGTAGAATTAAATCATTTCATCGCGTCCAACTATCAGCAAAAAAATCAAATTCCAAGGTAATTTGAGAAGGAACTTTGTTCATCTAGAGGTTGAGGGTCACAGTGTTCACAAATAGAAAAATTCTCAGATATGTTTTCTTTGTTCATAATATCTAAAAATGATATTTTTCTGTGTTGAGGGCAAGAAATCACTATCTACAAATGTTATGTAAAGTACATCTATGCAAGTTTAGACCTAAATCCCATGATAATGAGAAAACAGGATAAATAAGATGACATCAGTAGTCCAAAGGCTACGCAAACGCTTCGCAATAGTGAATACTAAGTTATTAAAGTATATACATGTAGTCATCATAGCTGCGTTACTTTTAACAAGTATTTTGAAGTAATGACATTTAAACGGAGAAATATACCATATTATTATGAACAAAGAGCAATAATAATGTCATACACACACACATAGGTAACCATCTATGATGTAGAAATACATTGTTATTAAAATGTGCGTGCTTTGGTTGTTCACAGTATATACGTCATTGTATAGCAATTGTTTAAGCCAATCAGAATTTGAGAAGAAATTCATTTACGTTATTACAAATGGCCTTAATATACTTTTTTTAAAATATCTTTCTTAAAAGAAATTGTATAATCCAGGAAAATCTGTTTATTTGTAGAAATATTAAATTACTTCATAAATTAAAAGCAGCCATGTATATAGATTATATAAATGCTATGATTATGAGATGAAAAGCCATGTTACAAACATGCAGTATTATAGGTAATAATGAACATAATATTATGTACAATATATAACATGTCAAGAATCTCTAATACTTCTAACTTCTTTATATAGAGAAAAAATGCAGCTATGTACATGTATGTAGATTATATAAATGTCAAGATTATCTTATGAAAAGCGATTTATCTACTGTCTGGTTAGATCTGTGAATCAGGTGACCAAGGTTTGATTCCTAAATGGTGCAGGTCACTTCGTAGCCATTGATCATGTAATCCTTTTTTATGGTCATTTGCACTGTACATCATTCCGCTCTGGCATTTACAGAAGTTATCAGTTCCTTAAGCCAAAGTGAAAGCAACTAGTGCTGTTAAACTGTTCGACAGTCTGCCCCAGAACTATGTGGTGGCTGAACTATGTTCTGGTAAATTCAATGTGGCTTCTGGAATGAAAACTACCAACACCACAACCACCATGAAAAGCAATCTTACAAACGTGTAGTGTCATTTAACCTTAAGCCTGCCAGCTGCATCTAATCCTACCCAACCAAGTGGTTCCATCTGGTCATTGTCTGCACTGTTCATAAAACCTAAACACTCATTACTTATTTTTATAATTTCCCTAAAAATGATGAATGATTTTGTCTAGATATTTGAAGAATTACCCTAAAAATGATGAAAAATTTTTGTCTGGATATTTAAAGAATTTCCCTAAAAATGATGAATAAAAATTTTGTCTGGATATTTCAAGAATTCCCCTAAAAATGATAAATGATTTTGTCTGGATATTTAAAGAATTTCCCTAAAAATGATGAATAAAAATTTTGTCTGGATATTTCAAGAATTCCCCTAAAAATGATAAATGATTTTGTCTGGATATTTGAAGAATTTCCCTAAAAATGATGAATGATTTTGTCTGGATATTTGAAGAATTTCCCCAAAAATGATGAATGATTTTGTCTGGATATTTGAAGAATTTCCCTAAATCTGATAGCTGATTTTGTCTGGATGTTTGGAAAATTTCCCTAAAGATGATGAATGAATTTGTCAGGATTGAAAGATGGACAAGTCTGTTTAAGATACAGGCAATAACATCTTGTCATTTTCCGTTACCTTTAGCTGAATCTTAGTGAGAGCAGTGGCCTAGTGCATCAGGTGTCTCCCCAAACCAAAATCGCAAGCTAACATTGCAAGCTTGTCACAAGCTTGCTGCAAGCTTAAGTTGCAAGCTTGCTACTGGCTAGTAATTGGAACCTTGCGGTAAGCTTGCGAACAGTTATTTAAAAAAAATCTGACTGCAAACTAGTTAATATTTAAGCTTGCGTAAGCTTAATCGCAAGCTTGCGCAAGCTTAATCGCAAGCTTAATCGTAAGCTTGCGCAAGCTTATTTGCAAGCTTGCGCAGGTTTATCTGGAAGCCTGCACAGGCTAAGTCGCAAGCTTGTGCATGTATAACTACAAGCTTAATGTATAAGCTTGCGCAAGCTTAATGTATAAGCTTGCGCAAGCTTAATCGCAGGCTTGCAAAAACTGTAAACCCTATTTGGAAAGGGAGCTGCTACGTATAACAGTCTCTGAATCCTATATAACATGCAAAAAAAGGCATTAATTACCATGATAAACTTACTTAATCATAAATTGTAAAAAGAAGCTGATGTTAAATTTTTCATATACTAATGTTTTTTTCCAATTACCATGGTAAATAGTCCAGCCTTGATGGAATGACATTGAAAAAATCCAGCCTAATTCCAGCATCCCTGAATGTTCTTAAAATGTAAAATTCTGGGATGGAATTCAGCACAGAATGTTTGGGTAGAATTTTTATGAGTTTAACATGATCACATATTTCTTTCACAAAATTTAATACATATCCTTTAGTCCAAATACAGAATAGAACAGCCTACATTCACTATAACACAAACAGTTTTTTCTAGCTGCAGGTTTGGTAGGTTCTTGTTTTCTTAGAATCCAACACTTTGTTTTAAGCAATTATTTTGCTCTTAGTCTGTCAGTGACAAACTATTCAATCTTAAATTTGTTTTAAATGTTTCTGATTATTTTAAATTACTATTTCTTTTATCGGTGTCCATTTTTAGTCCTCTGCCAGTGTTTCCTAGAACTTCTTTATGGTTGTGCTGACCTTTAAAGATAAAATTCATAATTAATTAAATACAGATGCAGTAATGAACTATGTTTTATTGCATAAATGCAGTTATATTACATATCTTTTAATAACATCGAATCTAATGTTTCAACAGTATTAACTATTAAATATTAACTATGCTTATGCATTTTCAAAAAATACTAAAGCAATGCAGTATATCTTATTTCAATGTGCACAAATGTTTAAGAATTTCTCTGTATGAGTATTAAGTAAATTTGTGACAATATTTATTACCCAGTATGTATTTTTTCAAGAAAAGATGTGGAAAAGAATAGTATTGAGATTTGATAATATACCTTTTCAGGATTAATACTGCACATCATTATTAAACACTGCTGCTATTTCTCACAGTCAGCACTTATGTCCCAGCCTGCAAATTATTTATGTATAATGTAATTTTAGATTGTAAACACATTTACATTGAAAACACAACACATACATGTAAAATAACAAATGATTATGATTGACCCTGTTCAGCTGTACAACTTAACTACTGATTGTACCATTTAGTCCTATTTAATCAAATTGATTTAATTATTTGTTTAATTTGCAGGAAATGAAAAAGATCTACTAACATGCCATTTAAACAATATAAACAATCATTTAAAAGAAGTCATTGAATAATTTATATTTTACAGATTATACATGTATAGATTAAAAAGAATTATCAGAAAAACAAATGCATGAAGTTGAAAATATAAAAACAACCTTGATCTCTTGTTACAAATGTTAATAATTTGATATATCATTTTATATAACCTGTTTCTGCATTAATGTAACTTAAGGTTTATAAATACCTGATTCTGTTGTATATCTCCTTGTCCCAGGCGATTCTGATTGTTATCATACCAATACTTAAACACTTTAAATGTTAAACAAAACAATATCTCCAAAACTGCTAAAATATCAAGTACATCCTCTGCTCTCTTTGCTGACCCAGATATCTTAGAATTCAAATTTTACAACAGTTACTGTAAAACTGGACAGGTCTATCATTATGTAAAGCAGGGTTAATCTACTCATCATTTTAACTTTCATTCTTTGAGCGTAAAAGTATCAAATAGCTAATAGATATATAGATTTTAAAAATCATTACAAATTTTTGTACAAAAAGATTGCAATGTCCTTCTAGACACATTCTGCATATGAAATTTATAATATTATCTCTCTCCCCAAAATAATCACATGGAACAGCCTGATCTGTCGGAATGACCAGGAGTAAATTAGTCATGCACAGATGGTCAATGAATTTTTATCAAGGCTCTGATGTGTGTTAGCCTAAATCTCAGTGGATGTAGTATTTATTTTCCTAAATAAAAGCAATATATATTATTAATTTAATATAGAATATATATGAGATTATTTCATGCACTGTTTTTGTTTTGTTTATTTATTTATTTATTGTTATCCAAAAACATGAAATTCTTAGAATTTTAAAAATGGCAAGCAATGCAATCCCATCTTGATTATTATAGTGTCTGAATGATTGAATCACAGACTTTAATTAATTTATAGTTAAACTTAAAGCCTGTAATAAAATGGATATTATTTCATTGTACATAACTTCATGTAGATTTATTGAAATAATAATATGTATTTAACAATCAATTCATTTACTTCTTTTGCACAGACATTTTTTCTGAGATACCCTTTTCCAACTACATGAAATGTATAAAGT